GGCGTAAGTGCCTGGGCCCTGCTGCCTGGTGAGCGAGACCCCGATGGAGTGACGGGTTCCCGATTCTGGCCAGGTTTAGCCCTAGTTGTTGCAGCCATCTGGGAAGTGAGCCAGCACATGAAAGAACTCTTCCCTCTCTCCGTTGCTCTTTCAATTAAATAAATCTTTAAAAAAGAGAGAGAGAAAGGAAATGAGCAAGGAAATTGCATTGTGCCTATTCTCTGTTTATTAATCCAGTACTCTCACAAATGCTGTGACATGAAAGAGGAAGGATGTGTCTGTTTTTTGTATTTTATTATTTTTTTCCTTTTTTTAAAAATTTTATGATACAACCCCATAGGCTTTGGAATTTCCCTTACCCCCTCCCCCAAATCCCTCCCTTCAGCTTATTTCTCCAATATTATTACAATGATATAGTCCTTCGTATCAGCCATTAATCCATCATTCTGCTATTTAAGTGTATCCCAACATTGTGGCTACAGACAATGGCAGACAGTCCAGCATCCTAATGTCAAGGCATAGCCAACAGTTTCATTGGGAATCCATCTTTGATTTGGAAGTAGGGATGCATACTGCATTGTATCTTCACATCTGGATATAATAGTCTCTATTACACAGTTACTATACATTCCCTTAAATGAAAAACAAAATCAACAGGAATAAAGTTTTTTTTTTTTAATGATTTATTTTTTTTATTGCAAAGTCAGATATACAGAGAGGAAAAGACAGAGAGGAAGATCTTCCTTCCGATGATTCACTCCCCAAGTGACTGCAAAGGCCAGTGCTGTGCTGATTTGAAGCTTCTTCCAGTATCCAGGAGCTTCTTCCAGGTTTCCCATGTGGGTGCAAGGTCTCAAGGCTTTGGGCTGCTCTCTATCTTTGTACCCTAAAATCAGCAAGTGATGGTTACAAGGGAGGTCTACATGAGCTACTTTAGCAAAACTTAACTTTTAATTCAAATGTTAAGGTGTGTTTTTTTTTAAGACTTGCAGATTTGTAGCTGCCAGGTGGCCCACAGCCTTATCTTGGGCCTGTGGGTTTATGAGGCAGCTTCATGAGATACACAGAGTTACAGCAACCAATAAATCAGAATCATTAGTTTCATTCTACTACTCATTTTTTTGCTCTTTATTTTGTTGATAATCTTGACATTGTTGATTAGGGTGCAGAGCGTCAAGGGCTAGAGGAAAGTGGGTTAAGACCACTGTTATCACATTCTCTTTTTTCCTTCTTGCATCTGGGGGAAGGGGAGAGATAAGGAGGAAAACCACATCCTCGTTCTACCACTTTTAACCAAGCAGTCTGTGTACTGTCAAGAGTACTGTTCTGGTGTTCATAGGTTTTCTGTGTAGGCTCTGGTAAGAAACATTCTGGTAAATGGAAAATGTACTTTTTGTGTTGTTAGGGTTGATTTCAGCTCTAAATCCTCAATTATTAGATGAAAAACTGCCTTTTTTATACCTTAAATGTATCCAGATGGAAAGCTTTGTAATGCCTGTTATCTAGCAGGTGCTTAATACACATTTGTTGGAAAAAATTTTTTTGAAGATTTTTTTTTTTATTGGGAAGTCAGATATACAGAGAGGAGAGACAGAGAGGAAGATCTTCCGTCTGATGGTTCACTCCCCAAGTGACCACACTGGCTGGAGCTGAGCCAATCCAAAGCCAGGAACCAGAAGCTCTTCCAGGTCTTCCACCCGGGTCTCCCATGCAGGTGCAGGAACCCAAGGCATTGGGCCATCCTTGACTGCTTTCCCAGGCCACAAGCAGGAAGCTGGATGGGAAGCGGGGCAGCTGGGATTAGAACCGGCAACCATTTGGGATCCGGGCGTGTGCAAGGCGAGGACTTAAAGCTCTAGGTTATTGTGCTGGGCCCTGTTGGAAAATTTTTATGTGAGAAGAAAATGAATCTTAAAACTAGGTAACTAGTTAGGTTCTCAGCTTACTTGCTACCATATGTATTTTTAGTATATAATTCTCATGAGTCCTTTCCAGATTTTTCTCAGCATGTTGATTAGAATTATCCTTTGTATCTTCTGAATAAACACATTAACTTATTTGAGCTTCAACTGTTTTATAATTATGCTTTCAATCATTGAAATTGTGAAATAGCCCAAGATGAAATGGGTTTTAACTAGGATGACTGTAGTTTATGATGTGAACTGGATGCTACTGAGAAAGTAAGCTCTGTTTGACAATGAAGCTCTGGCGTGTATAAACCAGGCTTGTTCTGGGCAAACCAGGGCATCTGTTCACAGTATGTTTTATTTTTTAAAGTAAACTTTCCACTGGAATACTTACATATTCTGGAAGTTTATACATCCTAATGTGGATAGCTTAATGATGAGTTTCCTGCAGGATACTATTCTGACCATACCTGAATCTTCCCTGTCATAGATGAGACCATGGTATCATATACTTGTGTTGTACACTGTGTGCCTGGCCTCATTGGGGCGGGATATTTTCATTGAATACAGCATTATATAAATATGTTGCACTTTACACCTTATTCTGTTAAAGAACGCTTAGATTGATTTTTTTGTATCCATAGGAATGGTGTACTGTAAGTGTACTTGTTTATGAATCTTAGCTGAACATAAGTACTCATTTCTGTTGATGGAGTAGTTGGGAAAATTGCTCAGTCATATGACTTGTGGATGTGAAGGTTTAGTAGAAAATGCCAGTTTTCCTAAGTATTATGCCAATCTTCACTTCACTGCAGATGCCAGCTTCAGTGCCAGTTTGCCTGGATACCTCTTGACCTAATCACCTCTTAAAGACCCCCGCCCCATACTGTGACAGTGGCAACATTCCAACCATAGCATCATTAAAATGGAAATCCAGTAGCATTTAGTACAAGTGCATTCACAGTGTTGTACAACTGCCACCTTCCTCGTGTTGAAACCTTACTCTTACTCCAAAGTGAAACTGCTTAAGCAATGTCTGCTCACTCTACTTCCCCCCTATTCACCTCTGCAATCACAAATCTGCAGCGTCCCAGCATTTCTGGGCTGAATATTTCATTTCCATGTGTTGGTATAATCTGTCAGCTTTTAGCCATGATACCTTCATGTGTAGAGCACAGTTTGTTTTTCTGTTTGATAAATGGATTATTCCTGCCATTTGGCTGTTGTGAACAGTGGTGCCATAAATATTTGTCAACTTTTGGCTTTGTTATTTCAGTTCATTTGCGTGTATACATAGCAGTGAAATTGCTGGTCATACAATGGAATTTTCAGCCTTCAAAATGAACAGCCCCACCAGCAGTGTACAAAGATTCTAATGTTTCTATACCTTTGCTAATGTTTATTACTTTCTGTAAATTTTGGTGGTTTTGATGGTATTAAAAGCAGCTCAGATTAGGGTTTTCTAACATATTTCCTCATAGAACCTTGTATCCAGTGACTTGGTTAAATTCACTTGTAATACTAGTGGCTTACTTTTTTTTTAAGATTAATTTTATTTTTATTGGAAAATCAGATTTACAGAGAGGAGAAGAGACAGAAAGAGCTTCCTTCTGCTGAATCACTCTCCAAGTGGCTCAACAGCCAGAGCTGAGCTGATCTGAAGCCAGGAGCCAGGAGCTTCTTTTGGGTCTCCCACAGGGGTGCAGGGTCCCAAGGCTTTGGGTCATCCTCAGCTGCTTTCCCAGGCCACAAGCAGGGAGCTGGATGGAAAGTGGGGCTGCAGGGATTAGAACTGGCACTCACATAGGATCCGGGCACATGCAAGGCAAGGATTTAAGCTGCTAGGCTACTGCGCTGGGCCCTTGTTTTGTTTTTGATAGTTTTTAATCCTTTGCCTCCTCCATCTGCATTTGTGCATGTTTGAACAACCAGATACTCTTCTCAAACAGATTTGGATATTAAGTCTTGGAGCTGAAACTTACACAGGAAGTAAGACTGTTAGGAGTGGTTGCACTGTTCTGTTAGCAGTTTTTCAAATCCTTTGATATCTGTGTGTTTCATACAGCTTCTTGGTCCTAAACTTGGGGTTTTGTCCCAGGTTCTGTAGGGAATCAGTGAAGACAACTCTTGCCTCCTTCATCCTTTCTGTGCTTGTTCTGCTGTGGCTTTTCTGCATCTGTTTGTTCTAGGAATTTTGTATTTACTTCCTTTATACCCCCTCCACCGCCACACTTTTTTTTTTCTTTTTTGCCTTGTTTGTTAATGGTGGAGCTACTACTTGTTTTAAAGTTGTTCTGTTTATTTTTTATAGTGAAAAATTTGGGCATAAACCACACATATTTATCCAGGCTTCAAGAAGGGTCAAGTACAGTTCAAGTTGCTTCTCCTCTCTGTATGGCATTCGTTATCATGTGTTGGTGGTATTGTATCTGATCTGTTTTCATCTCCAAGTCCTCCAGAGCTGTACAGGCTGTGCACATCCCACTGTGCCTGTTTTCATTCATCTTCATTGTTTTGTTTGTCCATTCTCATTTCTGCTGTCTCAGTGGAATTTGAGTAGAAGGAATGTCAGCCTATGTATTTCTTCCTGTGACTTTTTTGAAAGGGCAATTTAAACACTTTTTGAGTAGATTGCCAATAACATGTTTTGGGGAAAGAACATGGTGTTACCTCTTCTTTCAAGGTGGTGTTGGTAGGTGAATCTGACACCTGGCTGTGTTACACAAGCTAGGCAATTGAGTCTTGCAGCTGACCTCTATTTGGTGATGAAAATCCCTTTGGGGGACAGAGAAACACTATTCAGTAGTATTCAGGTTTTAACAGAGCATGAATGAAGATTTGGGTTTCCATTGCTGGAAACTTGGGCCCTGAGAAGGTGAATTCCCTGGAGCAATGAAGGGAAAAATACAGGGCTAGAATAAGCTGTGGTTTGTTCTTCGCACATCACTCCAATGAACCAGGGGTTAGAGTCCTCTCATGTTAATGTTCATTTTGGGGTTTTGCCTGTCATTTAAAATAGTTATCTGAATACCAAGAGTGTTTTTGAAGACTTCAATATAAATACTTAATACTTAGTTGCCTTCTTTCTCCTAGGATCAAAATGGTTTCAATCCCAGAATACTATGAAGGCAAGAATGTCCTGCTCACAGGAGCTACTGGATTCCTAGGGAAAGTGCTTCTGGAGAAGTTGCTGAGGTCTTGTCCAAAGGTGAATTCAGTATATGTGCTGGTGAGGCAAAAGGCTGGGCAGACCCCTCAAGAACGAGTGGAAGAAGTCTTGAGTGGCAAGGTGAGTGTGGAAAATGATGCTCTTGAGGAGAAGGAAATGGGTACTTGCATAGTTGTAATCATCAAAAGATTAGCATTATTTCTTCTAATGTGCTTAAAATGTAAGTTAGAAAAAGCTTAAGTTCCTATGCAATGGCAATAATCCATATGTGGTTTGTAAATCAATTGTATAACTAGTTTTATATTAGCCCACTGGTAAATATTTAAAGCACATTTATTAGAATATTTGCTGTGGGTTAAGTAATCTTTGAATAATAGTTACTTTAGAACTACCTGTTGCACTGGAAGAGAGTATGCTTTAATAATACTTAGACGTTTACATAACAGTATTATTAAGAGGTAGGGAATTACATATTTGTATTTGACAGATGAAAAGAAGAATCATTAGATAGAATACATACATTTGGAATCTTTGGGAAAGTATTGTTAAGAAAAAACGAGATAAAATGATTTAATAACTATTTATAAATTCTGAATTTTATTTTTATTGATAGTAAGTTTGAACTGGAAAACTCTGAGCCCAGTTTTGGTCCTCGTGAAACCTGATGATAGGACCCCTTGACTCCTTCAAAAAAGATTTTCATATATAGCTTTTAAAAAAAAATTAGAACAGCACTTATTTGAATATCTCAGTTATTATGCACTTTTTTCGAAAACTTGTAGCAGCAGCAGGTCAGACATTTTACTTTGAGTCAACTTCCTATGCCTTTTCGATAGTTGTTTGGCTTAGAATGTAATTGCCTGCAGTGCTTTCTTTGACATCAGGCAGCAGGTACTCATTATGTTGCTTTAAGTTTTTAAGCCCTAGTTTGTACAATTCTTTCTGAAAAGTTGCCTGTGAACTTTTCATCAGTCTGCATCAGTCTCCTTTCACCATTTTTTCCTTTTAATTCTTGCTGAACCTTTTGGAATCTTTTACTCCCCTTAAAATTTACAAAGAAGAAGTCATTTGAAGAGGATGTCAGATGACTAGGTTTGTTACAAGTAAAAAATGCCTGCTGATGTGTTTGTTGCCATCTCTACCCTTTGTTTTATTTTCCCTGGCATTTTATCATGAGCACTTACAAGTTTTCATTCTTCCGCCAGTACCCTTTTCTGTTGTGCAGGCTTATATATTCTTTTTCACATTTCAGTTTTCAGAAAACACTGATCTGATTAGTCGTAGCCATTTGACTTGGTGTGGGGACTGAACGCAGGGCTAGGAAGTTTCTGCCTTCCAGAGAACTTGTAAGAGCGAAGATGGGGGTAGAGATGTCAGGATGTTGAATAGGAACAAGTCTTGAAATTGATGTCTTGGTTGAAATGGAGGTGCTGAGTAAAGTGTGAAAGATTGGAAAACACTGAAGTCTTCAGGACAGTGCTTTTAATGCTTTTCCACAGTAAGTCTAATGTTTTAAGATAAGGAATATACTTAAAGCCTGAAATTTCCTTGAACTTTAATGGGTTTCCTAAACATAGGCCAGTTTCCATGTAAAAATACTTCATCTGCAAATTATTTTACTAAAATTAATGTTCCAGAAAGTTAAGTCGTGTCTTCCTTGTGCTTCTACTTCCCTTCTGACAGATCCAACCACTTAATCCTTGGGCTGCTTATTCCCTATTATCTGTCACGTTGTTGGTGAATCAGCCAAAATGAGGTGTTTTTCTTAAGTCAGGTAAAATGAGTATACTCTTGAAGTTAGTAGACAGCTTCAGTAGATTCAGGCAAGTACATCCCTCAGCCGGGCAGGGACTTGAGTTTCTCAGCTTCAGCACCGTTGATGTTTTGGTCTGTTAGTCCTCTGCTGTCAGGGGCTGTCCTGGGTGGGAGGATAATCCATCATTCCTGCTCCCTGGTCACTAGTTGCTAGGTAGTCCCCTTCCCCTCCACTTCCCAGGCTTGTCAGTAAACTGTTTCTAGACATCACAAAGGATTCTTGTATTTGATCATATCTTCTCCTTCTCATTTCTGTTGTCAACATGCACACATTCTATTTATTGTTGAGGTTGTAACATAAGTGTCATTTCCTGTGTAAAGCTCTGTGTGGTCTCCCCAGGTTGGGTTAGCTATTTCTGCTGTGTAGTTTTGTAATTCTGTATTGTTGCTCTTGCCACATTGCTTACAGTACTATATTGTGTCAGTTTACTTGCCTGGTTTTTATTTCTAAACTCTAAGATTAAATGTAAAGGAAGGGCCCGGCGCGATGGCGCTGGTTTATATCCTGGCAGCCCCACTTCCCATCCAGCTCCCTGCCTGTGGCCCAGGAAAGCAGTCGAGGACGGCCCAAAGCTTTGGGACCCTGTACCTGTATGGGAGACCCGGGTGGAAGAGGCTCCTGGCTTCGGATCGGTGCAGTACCGTCCGTTGCGCTCACTTAAGGAGTGAATCATTGGATGGAAGATTTTCCTCTCTGTCTCTCCTCTCTGTATATTTGCCTTTCCAATAAAAATAAAATAAATCTTTATAAAAAAAATGTAAAGGAAAAGCCTTTCCTTATGTTCTTAGTTCACGGGAGGAAACCTGACTCATGAAATGCTTAGTAAATATTTTAAAAATTAATATAGGAAGACATTAATAGTAGTTCACACCTACTACCTAACAATGATGGGATGGAAGACTGTTACATATTACAGTCTTGTAGGAAGGTGGGGTAGGTCCTGTTTATGTACGTGGATTTTGTTCCCAGTTTAAGAATTCTGTTTAAACTGCCAGGTTGGACTGCACGTGAAATCAAGAATCGAAATGGATACAGCAGTGACCTTGGTAGCATCAGTTTGCCATCAAAGCTGGAATAAAAATGAAATGAGGTATTAAGCCTCATGATTAAAACTTCACATTCCGCATTGGAGACCTGGGTTTCAATCTTGGCTGAGGCTCCTAACTCCAGCTGCCTACTGTTGTAGACTCTGAGAGGTTACAATGCTGGCTCAATCAGTTGGGCTTCCTCCCCTCACCTCTGCCTTCACCGAGTCCCCTGTCCCAGGCTTTGGCCCTGGCCCAATCCCCGTCATTATGGGAATTTGGGGAGTGAACCAACAGACAGGAACTCGTTTTCCCTCCTGCCCTGCAGTATTTAATTTTAAAATTAAACTAGATTCACAATTCACTCTGCTACTGTTACCTCTTGTGATATGATTGTCTGAAGGAATTTTCTCTTGTTGGTTATACTAGAGGAATGCTGAATTTTCAGTTTGAGTCTGTATTTTCCAAGTTTGCCTAGTTTCCAGTCTGTGTTCACTTTCTGACTTGAGAAAATTTCTTTGATGGTTTTACATAAGATAAAGAATTTAATATTTTACAACAATGAAATAAGACAAATGAAATGATAATTAAAATCTGACTTGTAGACACCGGAATGATCATTGTCGTCATTGTCCTACTGTCATATTGCTTATGCCTGTTCTCGGGCAGAATAATCAGTGAAGATGTAGACACTGCAAATTTAGTTCTGCAAACTACCAAGCCAACTGTGTCTTTAGCAAACTGCTCAACCTCTTTGGGTGTCAGAGTCCTTATCTTTAAGATAGATAAAATAATGTGGACTTCAGAATGTTGTTTCCTTAAGAAAATTGATGTTATCATTTCTTTTAAGATTTATTTATTTTTTATTGGAAAGGCGGATGTACAGAGAGGAGAGACAGAGAGGAAGGTCTTCCGTCCGATGGTTTACTCCCCAAGTGAGCGCAACTGCTGGAGCTTAGCCAATCTGAAGCCAGGAGCCAGGAGCTTGTTCTGGGTCTCCTACATGGGTGCAAGGTCCCAAGGCTTTGGGCCATCCTCAACTGCTTTCCCAGGCCACACGCAAGAAGCTGGAATTGAAGCAGGGTTGCAAGGATTAGAACAGGCAACCACATGGGATCCGGGCACGTTCAAGGCGAGGACTTTAACCACTACGCTATGGCACCAGCCTGATTTATTATAATTTTATTTGAAAGGCAGGGAGACAATTTCCTCATATGTTGATTTACTTCCCAAATGCCTGCAGTAGAAAGGGTTGGCCAGGCCAAAGCTTAGGAAACTGAACCTGAGTTCGGGTCTTCCACATGGGTGCCAGAGATCTGACTGCTTAAGCCATTACCCCTACCTCTCAGAGTAGACTAAGCATTGACTGGAAGCTGGAATTGAGGTTTGAACTCAGGCACTCCAGTAACAGGGTGTGCACATCCCAGGCAGTGGGTAGCCACTGTGCCAAGCCCTGTTTTCTATATGCTGTAAATAAACTGAAAGCAATTAAGAAAGGCAGCTTAAGAGTTGCAGTTTTAAGTTTTCAAAATAGTTATCCTTGACAGGAATGAGGATGATAATGGGTTTTGGAAAGTAAAAAATGCTGTCCTAAAATAAGTATTTTTCTCTTTTACTAGCTCTTTGATAGATTGAGAGATGAAAATCCAGATTTTAGAGAAAAAATAATAGCAATCAACAGTGAACTTACTCAACCTAAACTGGCTCTTAGCGAAGAAGATAAGGAGGTCATCATAGATTCAACCAATATTATATTCCACTGTGCAGCCACAGTAAGGTTTAATGAAAACTTAAGGTAAGTACAGCTTCTTATGTAATATTTGAGCTTTAACATACTTAAATGATCTAAAAACTGTACGTTTTCCTCAAATCATTTTGAAAGTGATTTGAAACTGCCCAGTGTATGTTAACTATGGTTTTCAGTGATCCCACAGAATGCTAAAGGAATTTTTTCTTCTTGTTACATATTTAAAATTGTTGTAACTTATTTTTGTCTCTTGGAAAAGGTTGCCATGAATTTTGACGTGTGAAAAATAAATTTTTTCAAAATTTATTTTATTTTTATTTTAAAGTAAGGATTTACTGAGAGAGGACGCTTATTTTTCATCTGTTGGTCTACTCCCCAAGTGGCTGCAATGTCCAGAACAGAGCCTTTTAGGAGCCAGGAGCCTCTTCCAGGTCTCCCACATGGGTGTAGGATCCCAGGGACCATCCTCCCCTGCTTTCCCAGGCCATAAGCAGGGAGCTGGATGGGAAGTGGAGCAGCCAGGATGTGAACTGGCACTCATACGGATTGCTGCCACCTGCCACAAGTGGGAGGATTAGCCCATTGTGCCACTGCACTGGCCGCATGGTAAAATATTTTTAAATGAAATTCAAATTACAAAGAATTATTTTTGTTTTTGAATTTTGAATTTTGTTTTCCCCTCTATTATCTTTTTGTAAAGAGATAAAAACTTAGATCTGCATTATATGATTTGCCACACAAATCTTCATAACAGTTGTACATGTATCCCACTATAGATAATGTAGTGGCCCCTTCCATTTCTGCATTAGTGCTCTATAATTTTCAAGGTATCTCATCATTTTATTCCATGCTAAGCTTTCCCACTGCAACATTACAGAAACATCTGTGTTACACTTAAAATCTGATGCAGCACTATGATAGAATTAATTACCTTTGTTTTGATTTTCATGTTAGTATTTATTACATGATGGGTTTGGGATAAATTATTAACCTCCTTGAGCCTCTGTTTCCTTAGCTAATTTTTGTGAAGAGATTGCTTATTTCCTTCAGTAAGTTTAAATGATGTTTGTTTTGTCTGTCCACTACAGAAAATCTGAATGTATAGTAATTGCTTTATTTGTTACTCTTGTTTCTTGGGCCAGCAGGAGAAATTCTATGCAGGCAATGTAGCAATGGAAATATTTTTATTTTTATCTGTGTATTATTGTTTTGTTTTTTACCATGAACCTGTGTCAATCTTTAAATATAGAGGTACCCAAATAACCTTTAAAGTTGTTTTTAAAAGCAGTATGTGTATGTGTGTATATAAATATATATGTATTTAGAAGAACTAATACCTCATCAGTGAACAAAACCCTCTTTTATACATTAAAAATTGTTCTGCATGTGTTATTCATGCTTTTATAATTAAGTTGCTGTTAGAGCCTTAGCCATTGTTGCTATTAGGAAGAGGTTTGAGATATTTTTAAAATTACAGATAACTGAGTCTGCTACCTATCTGTATCTTACAGTATTTTTCTGTTGTTCCAAAGTGGTCCTAAAGGTGATGAAATCTCATTTTGGCAGTATTTTCTCAGGGGTAAGGAGATTGGAAAAGGGATTGTCACAGTGTCCTGAGGAACATGATTAGTATGTAGTTTTCACAGCATCTTTTCAGACATATCAGAGTGTCTTGAGGATGAGGTTCTCTTTAAGAACCTGCATTTTTAGGAAACTCCCCTGATGTTTGTTAGACCTGATAGGAGAGCTCTGGCATAAGAAATTTAGATTATCAACATAGGTATTGGAAAAGCCAAAATGTCAGTTGAATTCTGATCTGTTCAAGTTGAGCCTCTTCCACCGCCCTCCCATCTTTAAAAATGTTGTAATTGGTTTTCATATCAACATTAATGAAGGATTGTTAAAAAATTGCTCATTTGCCTCTCTGACAAAAGCCTAATTTAAGATGCATTTATTACTCCGTAAAACCAAAACATAGTGACAAAGTCATTTTTGTTAAAAGCTTTCAGGTGTAGCATGTCATAGTCTTAGCCTGAGGTTTAATGGAGTAGAAATTGGATTAAGGTAAAACGGAGTCAGCTGAAATGCCTAGGAAGAGATCCTAATAGGAGCACAAAATGGCTTTAGGTTTGGGCTCTCAGGTACAAAATGAGGTTGGGAGGCACAAAAGTTATTCCTAATTTTCATTGACCCAGAAACTTTTTTACTACCTTTAGGAACAGGTAACAGAATATCCTTTATGTACTTGTCCCAAAGCATTACTCTCCCTAATCTTCATTGTACAAAAATATAAGAAAATGGCACATTTCTTCACAGTGAAATGGACCGTATCCACTCTGTGCAATGTCTTCCTTGATGGCTTTCTATTTACATAGTTTTCACCCTTCAGTTGAGACAAGGAAAAAAAAGAGCCATGGTTCTAATACATCAATCCAGTTATTACATTGAAATAATTTTTTCTTTATTATGTTCACTTGGGGTGTTTCAATACTAATTGTGTATTTTTTAAGGCAATGATGATGACATAGTTTCTTTGTCACACACATGAGCTATTTCTTGTTCCTGGTGACCCAGAATATGCTGTCCTGTCCTCAGGAAGCTGTAACAGGATATTCTCAATGTGTCCCTCTCAAAACACTACCTTCCTTATGCCCATTGTTCAGCAAACAAGATAGCTATCAGACACTGCTTTACAGTCAGCTGAACCAGATTCTATCTGTGACCTCACCTCGTCTTTTGAAAGAGTACTGGATTTTTTTTTGCTCTTGAATACTGAAACTCAGAATTTTGGAAGTATTCAAAAACTATTTCCATTAAAAATGTTATTATTTGAACATGTATTATTTTACCTAATTATGATCATTGATTTTTTGGTATTTATTGACTCTATTATGAATAATCCTTTGTGTGTGTGTTTAATATATTTATAATTTTTGTAAGTTTTGGTAGTGTTTACATAGTTAAGGATGCATGTTCATATGGACCACTGATTAGGGTGAGGAGGGTGGAGGAATGGAGGAAAGCTGGTAAGACAACTGTTTTCAGTCTCCTTTTGTTCATATATCTGGGGAAAATAGCGAGAGGGATGCTCCCAGCAGTGTAACCACATCACTACCCAGGGATGGAGAACAGCCACCTGATATTCCATGGTCCCCAGTGTGGAGCATATTCTGAGGGCACTGCTAAAGTGATTTTGCTAGTTCTGAAATGCTGTTGACTTTGTTGCTCCAAGGATGAGGAAGTCCTTCCAAGGTCCATTGGCTGACGCGTTCAGCCTTAGAGTCAGTATGCCCAGCTACTTGCTGTCAAAGCTTGGCTGGAAAAGCTGTCCAGTTTGTTCTGCACTCCATGGTACTAGATGTCCTCCACACACCTCACTGATCTGGTTGTCATGTACCCCAAGCTCATCTGGGCATGCTGTTCACTGCACAGGCTTCAACAACCAAGGAGACTCAGTTCTGACATACACACTTCACTGTCAGACAACATCCTGTAATTTCCATCAGAGAGGAAGTTTTGAGTCCAGTGGTCCAGACCCTTTCTGCGGGTGTGCCCACGTCTGCACTGCACATATCTTGCACACTGGTATAGTTAATGCAAATTTGGCATTAACCAGACCCAGAATGCCTGCCAGCTATTAGCTGCTTTTCTCCCAGCAGTTTAACACTTGTCTAGGTACAATCAACCTTAGACAGTTGCCTGCAGATGGGGTTAGGAATAATCTTAATACTTGCAACCTAATCCATCATGTCCTTTCATGCCATATAGAAGGACACCTATAAAGACTTAAAATCAAGCAATAAATATACCAGTTGTGGTAACTTCAAAATATAGTTTTGTGACTATATTTCAAAATATATTATCTATTTTAATATATTAAAATATATTTCAGTGGCTATTTCACTGAAATAGTCACAGAATTTAAAACCTAGGACTTAATGAGTTAATTTTATACAAATTAGAGTAAATAGATAATTAATTTAAAGGCAGAGTAATAGGGAAAGAGATCTTTTTTTTATTATTAATTACATTGCATTATGTGACACAGTTTCATAGGCTCTGGGATTCCCCCAACCCCTCCCTGTACCCTCTCCCCATGGTGGATTCCTACACCTTGTTGCAGTATTACAGTTCAAACTCAGTCAAGATTCTTTCATTGCAAGCATACAGCATGCATAGAGTCCAGCATCTTATTGTCCAGATAAATTCAACGGTTTCTTGGGGAGACAGTCTCTGGTCTGAAGGTAGAGCTAGCAGAATATCATCCCGATCAATTAAAAGCCACAACATAACATCATCAACAATTTACAACATTATGGAATTAATTGACATGGTATTGAGTGACCAATATGTTAAAAAATGTTAAGTTCTTAACCACATCCTGTGACTACTTCATTGACATTTCAATTTTAGTTTATATACAACCGGCTTCTATACACCTTAAAATGGTTATAGGGTACTATTCAGCTGCCTCGTGTCTATTTTCATTTTAGTATTTAGTATTTAGTGTTGAAGCATAATTTTGCTGAACTTGGCAGATTTTAGAATAGTCTAAACTGGCTTATAACTCTAACAAGGCATATGTCAACAGTTGAGGCGCAGAACAGTTTTAGGAGGGGGGTGCAGAGAAATCTTCCATAACTTAGTGAGGAGTAACTAATCTTTGTGTCCTACCTAGTAAGGTATGTGTGAGTCCACACTGACTGTTTCCTGTCTGGTTCTAATCTTTCCTTGTTGTTTTCTATCTATTCTGATTTTTTGTTTGTTTGCTTTTTTGGTGGTGGTGGTGGGTTGCCTGATGGTCATTGCAAGAGAGGGTGGGGATCCAAAGTTGGGACTAAGTAAGGACCGGAGAAAGCTCCTCTCCCTAGTCCTGAAGGAAGTTTACTGTTCTGTTTCTGCGGATCGCTCAGGGCTCCTGGCTGTCATTCCGATGACCTTGGAGCCTGTGAAGAAGGATTTGGGCTTCTTCCATCCCATGTGGTAGATCTGAAAGGGGGTGGGTGACCTCAGAGTTCTTGGCCCCCGAAGCACTCCAATTCCCCGTGGTCTCCTTGACAGTTGGGATGTAGTCCTTGGTGAGGATCTGGGTATCTCCAGGGTTGGGATACAAGTGAAAGAGAGATCTGTAATGCGTTAGTTTACTACCAAAATGGCTGTAAAAACTGAGATTGTGTGAGGCTCGATTGTGTGAGGCTCATGTCAGGCCTCAGCAAAGAACTTTATTCTAGTCACCTGCATGAATGATGGGCACAAATGCTCGTATGCTCGTACCATCTTCTGCTTTCCCAAGCATATTAGCAGTGAGCTGGGTTAAAAGTGGAGCAGCTGAAAGTTGAGCCAGCACCCGTTTGGCGTGTTCATCACAGGCAGTGTCTTGAGTTGCTACTTCACAACACCAGCTCTGAGTTAAAGTCCATTATTGTTCCCACTTAGAGGTAAGGAAACAGAAGCCTAAGAATTAGACTGACTTTACATCCTAGCTGAAAAGTAGGCCAAGCCGGAATTTGAACCTATGTCTTATTCCAGAGATCTGTCATTAATCATGTTTCGCGCCATAACTTGTTATATGCTTTGGTGTTATTCATACCAATTTTTTTCATGTTTTAGTCTTGGTGTATTTACTTTAATGGCCGTATTCTTTCATTGTAATAAATGCCTGCCTTATTGAGACATTGCAATCATGATAAATATTTGGGTTGTATAGGCATTTGCTATTAGATAATACTTCATTGTTTTTTCTGTTTTTGTTGAATTGTTTATATAAACCTTCAAAAAGGGAATTTTTGGATTGTCCTGGGTTTTACATACACATCTTCTAACAAGTGTATTAGTTTTATTACACTATTGCTTTGAATCTAATGAGGGATCTTATTTAAATAAGTATTTGTAGTGGTTACTGTAAAGAGGGGAATAAGTTTTTTTATTAATACAATGTCATGTTTCTGAGTTTTCTTAAGCTGTTTTACCCTTATTGATTACCTAATAATGTTTAAATTTCTTAGCTATTTTAACTTTACCTCCTTGAGGCACATCAATATCGTGGAAGATTATGCTTTTAGAAAGCAGGAAGCTTGTCATGCTACACATCAAAATGGTTATGTGGCAGCTAAATTTCAAAATTATCTATGATGATGATTTCTGGGTAATGTCAGTCTGTGTTTTTAAATAGTTTACAGGGAAACTTGCTTTATACTTAGAATATCTCTTTTTAAATATCGCTGATAGAATGAATGCACTTCACACTGCAAAAAAAAATACATCCAGTCAGAGCTGCAGCATTAACATTGTGAAGAAGCTCTGCAGGTCTCGGTGTACCTTTCGGAGTAAGATTTCTTAACAGCTTTTTCATTGTTGCTTTCTTCACAGAGATGCCGTTCAGTTAAATGTGATTGCTACACGACAGCTTGTTCTCCTTGCACAACAAATGAAGAACTTGGAGGTGTTCATGCATGTATCAACAGCATATGCCTACTGCAATCGAAAGCATATTGATGAAGTAGTTTATCCACCCCCTGTAGATCCCAAGAAGCTAATTGATTCTTTAGAGTATGTTTGCTTGACATTTGTATACATTTTCTTTAAATCAAAATATCAGGTTCAAGCTGTTTATTTCTCTTTCTCTCCCTCCTATCTTCCTTTCTTTCTTTTCTTCCCACCCTGCCTCCCTCTCTCTTGCTGTGTCTCTTTTCTGCATCAATACACACACACACACACACACACACACACACACACACACACACACACACACTATTATCGCTTCCTTTATTCTACAGATTATGTGTCTGCTGTGTCATTTTCACTGTGTCTAAATGAGTATTTGTTATATCAATATGGGGCTTTCACTTTTTGACCATGTGTAATGGTTGGAGGAAGGACTTTGATTAGTGTTGTCATCCATAATCTTAGGACTCTTACTTACATCCAGAATTGCATGTGGAGATCAGTGATTGCTGCTTAGTAGCAAGTTTCATATATCACAGATTATCTTTTTTTTCTCCTTCATTGGAGCACATTTGTCAGAAGGGCCTTTCATTATTAGTGAATTGGAGGAGTTGTAATGCTTTATTCATATCCCTTGTGTTACTATTTATCATCGTTCTGAGGATGGGATCCTGTCAATGATTCTTACATGAAAAATATTTGTGAGTGTCTGGTAAATGGGAACTTGGTGAAGTATGCATGTGCCATGTCCCATTTCTGATTTACAAACAAGTGAAACAGAATCACAGCCAAAAATAAAAAGGATCTTTTTCTCTTATAGACTGTAATTATACGAATTTCCAGTGTCCAGAATATCTGCAAGTGCTTGTATAAAATCTCTGTGGGCGTTTTCCTCCTCTGTTCTTCTCTGTCTCCCTGGGTCTCCTTTCTTCTCAGGGAGTCTGAACTCCTTAGTTATCATCCCATTCTTGCTTCTGAAATCATCCATAAGTCTTTTTCTTTCGGGATTGCCTATTGGTCATTAGGAGGGAGCAGAGCTTGTAAGAATTAATCAGTATGGAAAGTTAAGCAGATTTTTTGGGTGATTTTCTATTTCTGACTCAGTTTCTTAGATGATTCTAACTATCTACTTTGTGTTTCTAATAGGTTAATAATAAATATGTGTGTTAATATCTCTGGGAAAAGTTAAGTATGGGAGTTAATGAAGTATTTGATGCTTTAATGCATTGATACGTGTAAACACTAAAGAACTGAGGGAGAGCTTATAACCTTATTCTGTATCTCCTTTCCTTGCTTACAAAGAAATCTAGTTAGTAGACAGCTTTAACATAATTCATGGACTTGCTCTATAAACTCCCTCTAGTAAACAAGGCTTATCAACTAAAATTTGTTTAGCAAATGTTTTTGTTTTATTTTTTACCATTACCAGCTGTTCTGTTTTTCAAAGCCTATCCTTACTGTCAAATGTTTCCTAACTTAAAAAATTTCCCTTCAGTTTTATGAATATTCTTCTCCTCCCACACATGAAACGTATTTTAAATATGGAATAAAGTGTATGCATTTTTTAGAAAGTTTTATCATTTATTTGAAAGGCAGAGTGACAGAAATAGACAAAGGTCCTCCGTATGCAAATTTACTTCCCAAGTGCTTGTAGGAGCTATATTTGGTCCAAGTTGAAGCCCCAGGAGGCAAGAGCTGCATCTTGACTCTCATGGATGGCAAACACCCGAAGAACTTGAGGTGTAATCTGCTGCTTCTTAGGGTGTGCATTAGCGGAAGAGAGAGGACTAAGTCACAGGGACTCTCAGTGTAGTAGGCAGGGATCCTTAATGGTGGCTTCATCCGATGTGCATAAATCCCACCTCAAGAAAATCCATCTTGATTCTCTATTGTGTAAAGCTGATTTATCATTGTGGGTATCACTAGAGGTGAGGTGTGACAGTATATTGTACTTATGTATATGTGTGTATATGTATATATGTTGTTATACAAGTTATATGATATATAACTTACTGTTGCAGACAAGAAGATGAAAGTATCTGGAAAAAGTACATATCAAAATCAGAAAGACCATAGTGATTACTTTATGATCGTGAATTGTTCTTTTACAGAAAATGTGAATATGCCATTTCCTCGTAGATTGTGAGAACTGGAGGAATTTTACAATTTTATCATGGATTGTTTGAGTTTTTAGAACATGATTTCAAAGATTTACCTTAAGTATTTCATGTATTACATCTTTAGATTAATTATAAATGTTCACTGATTGCACCTGTATATAATCCACTTGTTATCCTAATTGGTGGTTATATACGTATGTAATTCCTTAAGCTGAAATCTTTGGGGCCAGGTGTATTTTAGAATTTATTTGGTTTTTATAAAGTAGAATTCATGCACATACTGTGAAATTTGAAAAAGCTAGCTTGATCTCAGCACCCAAATCGAGTCAATGAATGAAGATTTGAATTTAAGTGATGTTTAGAAATAATGAATCAGTTTCCATCAGGGTTTGTTGGATACGGTATGATTTCTAAAAAAGCTGTTAGTTTTCAGATCATTAAGAATTGTGTGTGTGTGTAGGATAAAGAATTGGTAAACTGTAGTTGATTAATGAAAAATAAAACTGATTTCTAAGTAAAAGTTGTTAGTCATTTTAGTTGACCACAGATAAGTTTGAAGGTGCAAAAATTCAATTAATTTACTTTCCATTTTATGTAAAACATCTGGAAATATTTTTGTGTGCAATCTTTTTGCCAGGTGGATGGATGATGGCCTAGTAAATGATATCACACCAAAACTGATAGGAGATAGACCTAATACGTACATATACACGAAAGCATTGGCAGAGTATGTTGTACAACAAGAAGGAGCAAAGCTAAACGTGGCAATTGTAAGGCCATCGATTGTCGGTGCCAGCTGGAAAGAACCTTTTCCAGTAAGTTGTTAGAAATCTTTATAAATAATTGAATTGAGAATTTTAAGTCATGTTTTTATATGAAGAGTTGGCAGTGGCTTGACTTAAAAGTAGGTGTTATGTACTAAATATGGATTGTGACAAAACTGATTTCATAGGAAGGGATGTATTTATACTTTATTTCCAGTGCTTTATAGGAGGTATACAGGTACAACAAGCATTTGAAAGTTTTAATCAAAAATTAAAACCTATGACATTGTTTCCAGACAAAAGAGATCATGGTTGAATTTCTCTTTTGGTCCAAAAGGAGTGTACCCTTTTAGTAACTTCCAAGAGGTAAATCCCTGTATGATCACCAAGCTAAATGACATTTATTATTATTTTTTTAAAGGTTGATTTATTCATTTGAAAGTCAGAGAAGGAGAGACAGAGGGGAGAGATCTTTAAAATAAGATCTTCTGTTCCTAATGACTGCAATGGTCAAAGCTGGGCTGGTCCAAGCCAGGAGCCCAGAGCTTCTTCTGAGTCTCACCTGTGGGTAGAGGGGCCCCTTCCACTGCTTTTCCAGGCACTTTAGCAGGGAGGTGGATTGAAAGTGATGCATCCAGAACCTGAATTGTATGCCAGCACTGCCGGTGGTAACTTTACTTGCTCCCCTATAAAGTTAGCCTCAGTGTAAGACATTTTTGTGATAACTTGCAGTAAAAACAAAAACTTGGTGACAGGGTATTTCTGGATCCTTTAAAAATGAGTCAGAAGAGATCTAAACCACTGGATAAATTGATTTAGACGAAACCTCATTTGATATAGTGATATTAAGTGATAACATCTCTTGCTGCTTTGATAATTACTCTTTTTTGCTCTTCTTTATTATTAAGTTTAAGGAGGATTTACTCTGCCCTAATGTACAGATACTGTGTTATTAGATAGCATAAAATCAAATGTGAACTTGATTTAGCAAAAAATATTTGACAACATGAATTCCTCCCTATAAAATTTTCTTTCCAGATAGCTAATGGCAGAGTAAGTAACCCCTTGGAAATGTTTGGTTAGTTATTCACAATTCCTACTTCTATTTGGGAATGGAAGGAATAACTGATCTCAGTCCAGGTTTTTACATTTTAGATGGAAGCTGCCATATACATCTGTGGTTATAGACTTCAAATAATAAATCAATTATCATAGCATTTCTAAGTTCTCCCCCTTTTTAAATTTTTTTGGTATTAGGGATGGATTGATAACTTTAATGGACCAAGTGGTCTCTTCATTGCGGTAAGTAAATCCTTTGATTTATTTAATACACTTAGCATTTTTCTGTTTTCTGTATATCTCTATATATACACTTGAGCTTATGAATCTTAAGGTGTTGTTTTTAATTTCAACAAAGGCAGGGAAAGGAATTCTTCGAACAATGCGAGCCTCCAACAATGCCCTTGCAGATCTTGTTCCTGTAGATGTAGTTGTCAACACGAGTCTTGCGGCAGCCTGGTATTCCGGAGTTAATAGGTATATGAGGTGACGATGTGGCTTATTAACTATGGTTACTGAGAAGGACACTGAATCCACTGATTTATGTGAATTAATTACTTATTCCTTAGTCCTGATATTGCCATCCCATTAGATAGATAATGTCACCACCAACTACAAGAATTGATGCATCACCGGCAGTGGTAAAGGGGGCTTTCAATCATAATAGAGAACTGATGTTCATTCTTACATTTACAGGATGAACAGCTAGATTATACGGCTGAACAATGAAAAACAAATAAATAAGCTCTCCCCAATGTTGATCTTTTTTTAATGCAGATGAAGATTTAGTATAAACTTAGAGTGATAAGTTAAAAAAATTCCATGGAAATTGGGTTACACTTGTCGAACATAATAAATACATTATAGAGAGCAGTAGTAATCAATAGTAGTAATCAATTACTATTCAGTAGTAATGAATAGTGTGGTTTCAAGATGCAGTACTAACATTAATAAGTAACACTTAAGCTTCATACCTAAGTTTTTCCTAAATTAATGAAGCATCCTTATTTTCAAGTCAGTGTTTTATATCTTGAAAGAGGTGACTATGTATTAAATTGGTTTTGACAAAAGAGAATTTAGTCATAATTTTTTTCAGCCAGAGTCTGTAAAAATGAGAAAGGAAGAGGTGAGGTTGACACTATTTTTCTTACACTTAAAATATGGTACTGCTAATACAAGTAGAAAAATAAGAAAAAAAAATTTTTTTTGGTAGTGGAGGGAGGAAGGGTGGGTAGTTGTTGAGAGTCATTCAAACATAAAAATTAACCCTTTAGGGATAATTTTAAAAAATACTCAGTGTAGGAAAGGTACCCTTCAGTCTCATGTCTTTCTGCTTAGATATATATTTAAGTTGGAAAAATGGCCTCTTTTTATGTTTCATTGCTTTCATCTTTGTCTTTGCAGACCAAGGAACATCATGGTGTACAATTGCACAACAGGCAGCACTAATCCCTTCCACTGGGGCGAAGTTGGTATGATTTTACCTGTGCTTTTGAGTATTAGAATAAATCTTAAAGAACTTACAGTGTTCACTGAGTTTTAATGTTAGACTACTCACGAGGCATTAAGACTCCTGAGGTACCAATTTGTTCTTATTTTAATTGCCATCTTAGAGGTAATAACCACCTGTACTGCCTTGTGGTTCTTGTTAAATATGCTGCTGTTTATTCCTACCCATCCCCCCCTTATCTGACCTGGCTGTATTTCTGCTGCCGTGAGCAGCACCCCACATGGATCACATGGGCTTTTCCTCCCTGCTGGGCACCATCAGTCCTGCTCTTGCCTGTCCATAGGCAGTGTCGCTGGTAACACGAGTTGGTGCACTAAGGTACCCAGAAGAACAAATGAAGGTGTTGGGGATTTTTGTCAGAATATTTTCCACTAACCTTTATTGATCTATGTAAATTCACAGATTCAGAACAGTAGTGTGTATATGTTACTTGTTCAAAAATATAGTATAACTTGAAAACCTACTGGGATAGACAAATTGTTGATGAATCCAAATTTAAAGTAAGCCATATTTGTGGTACTGATTTGGTAATAGGCCCTGTTTCATATCTAAATGAGTACTTTTTTGTTACTCCTACAGAACAGTTTTGACTAAAAACATTTTATGACATTTGACCTAAATTTTTTCTGTCATATTTTTATTTCAATCTAAAAATTGAAAATTTAAGAGCAACAAATCTAGGGTGGCTTTGAGTTTATAGTAATTGTTTTACGTAGGCTATTGAAACTTTAAAATAGTTTCTTATAAAGCTTTTATTGTGTTATAAGCCTTAGTAAAAAATCAAGTTGTTTTATTTTTCTTAGTAAACATTTCTATATACATTTCTGTTAAAGAATTAACATAGATCTGGGATTTGATTGTGTTGATACTGTATAACTTAAATAAATTATAGAGAAGCTGATTTGGGGTTGCTTTAAGCTTGTTGATATATGTTAATTTGAACAACTTATTCATAAGCAAAGGATGATGATCTTCCTTTTCTTTTTGAAGTAAGTACAGTAATAAGAATCTGGAAAGAGGAACAGAAAGAAAGAAGCTATTGTGAGAGGGGGTAATGTAGAAAGCGACACTATAAACTGATATAGGTAAAACGTTAGAAGATTTTTAAGAGTGAATTTTAGCAGAAATTCATTCATAAAATTCAAATTCATTGCTAGTGGCAGTTTGCAAACCTCTTGAGTTCAGCAGTCTAATACCCGTATTCTTTTAGCTACTATAGAGAATAGAAAAGTTTGTTTTTTAAATGAATGGACTCTGGCATCTTTGGTAAACTATTTTGCATTGTACAAACATTTTTTTTTCAAAACTTCATTACATGGTTATTATCAAAGCTGTTACACAACTTTTCTTCCTCAGAATACCATGTAATTTCCACTTTCAAGAGGAATCCTCTCGAACAGGCCTTCAGACGGCCCAATGTAAATCTAACCTCCAATCACCTTTTATATCAGTACTGGATTGCTGTAAGCCATAAGGCCCCAGCATTCCTGTATGATATCTACCTCAGGATGACTGGAAGAAGCCCAAGGTAATGGTCACTAGCTCTGTCTTATCTGTTCCTCTGACTGTTCAACAACCCATGCTTACACTAAAACTGCATATTAACTTTGTATTTGTTTATGCTTATGAGAAGGCTTAGTGGCCTTATGTGAAATAAGAAGACTTGAATTTAAGACTTTTCAGAAAAGCAAAGGTAGCATTGTAAGTTACTCTAATTTGTTCTAACATTTGGATGATACATTATTGTCATGCATTGAATTCTAGGTCTAACTCTAGGTATTTTTCTGAGTAACAAATAATATTCAAAATGCTTTGACGCTTATTTTTCCTACAGGATATTATCTAAATCATTCCTTCAAGATGAATCCTTTAAACCAAGTATTCAGGCGCCCCAATATTAAGTTGTATTCCAACAACCTATTGCTTCATTATTGGAAGGGTGTCAGACATACAGTACCTGCATTATTGCTCGATCTTGCACTCAGGTTGACAGGTCAGAAACCGTGGTAAGAAGAATAGCAGTAAATACACTAAGTATTGGTAAGGTGGTGGAAGCTTGCTGGAAAGACGAGATGTCGCTAGCATGAGCTTTACCTTTAGATTTACTAACCTGATTAATCACAATCACAATCAGGATGCAAGGACATTTCTTAGAAGTTGGAGATATTTGGGGTTACTGACCCTGGATCTCCTTTTGTTGGGTCATTAATCCTCCAAAATCCCAGCTATGGGAAATGTCCTCATCAAGGTTGTCATTGTTATTATAAGCTGAAATTGATCCCTTCCCCATCTCTCATTTAAAGATCTAGGGTTGAGTTTTTATAGGGGATTAAGGGTTAAATACTTTGCTTTAAGTGGATGGTGCAGTTTTATATGAAAAATAATAGGATGCTTCTAGAAAATTAATTACTTGACATATCTCAGCTGCCCATTCAGCTTATAATATACTGTTAATTACATTTTTAAACTAATTTTCCCAGTTGGGAATGGTATCGTTTAAAAAAAAAGTTGATAGCAAATGGAAACTGTTTTTCTATAGCTGTTGTAGCCTTTCTTCCTTCTTTTTTTCCTCCATTGAAACCCCACAAACTTAATGTTCCTATACTGTCTTTACCACATAATTATGGTGAAATGTACTATGAAGTTTGCTTGTTTTTAACCACATTGGCATTACAGTGGAGCCTTTGATTGGAGAGTTCAGGATGTGAGTATGTATGTGTAAAGAAGATGGCTGATTCCAGAACTTCCATCAACTGTTCAAAAACTAGAAGTGAGGTATCAGCCAGTTAGAGTATCAGGACCTCAGTTCCTGGCGGAGGTTTCTGTGGATTCACTTGTCCATCATGTTCCTAAGCCTATGTGTTAAATTGTAGGAATGTGTAAGAGGTGTTGTATTGACCTCTTAAAATAGGTAAGGAAATGTTTCAAAGATTTCCTAGAATGATTTGGGGGGAAAAATGTAGTTTTTGCCATTGGCAGCATTGTTTCTTAGCTAGAAGTTAGGCAGAAATTTATGAATGATCGCAATGTGTGCTTTCTTTAATAATAAAGTTAGTACATTTTAGGGCAGAAAAGAAAAAAAATCTAAATCATAGAAGTAAACTGGTTTAAATTTATCACTATGTTTTACACAAAGAAGGAGGATTTGGTGGACTTAAAAAAATGAGTGAATATTCAAAAATCACTGAGTCACAGGAAATAGAGCTTCATAACAGATCATTTCAAACTCACTGACTTAAATTAGCAATAGTCGCTGTTTTCCTCAGAATTGGGAATTTGGGAAGAAATCAGTAGGGCAGCTTTAGCTTGGGGTCTTTCATATGGTTGAGGTCCAATGATACTACAAGAGCTGTGGTGGTGGTGTGGATTGTGGACAGTGGAGCAGCCAGGGAACAACTGTCTGTGTCTTTTTCATATTGCAGCTGAATTTTTTTTGCAAGGGCTAGTGGTAGTATCCTCATATGATTTAGACTTCTTAGATGTCTTCTGAAGGATTCAATTAGAAAGTATTTCAACAAATAAGGTAGAAGCTACACTGCCTCTCCCAACTTACATGGAAGTGAAACAGCATCACTTTTGCCTCATTCTTTAAGTCCAAGTAAGTCACAAATCATCTCTAGATTTAAGAAAAGAGGATTGACAGAATGATAAGAATCATGTTGTAATGAACAAGCAAAATGAAAGATATTTATTACAACCTGCTTTGAAGTGTAATCTGCCATAGTCAAAATTCTGGCCACGGTAATTCCTATTCCTCCCTCATGGAAATACAGTTACTTCTTTCCTCTAGAATCTCTTTGGAATCAGCTGGAAGGTAGAGTTTTACCATCTAATTCTGTTCATCTTGAGTTTGAGGTTCTTTTGTAGTGGTTTTATAGATATAGCTCCTCTAGTTCCTCAGGTATTGATCTGAAAAACCTGCGATACACTCAGCCTAAGGTAATGGCTGTAGACAGCTTTAATTTGAAAAGAGAGATAATGAGAGGCACACAGTACCATAGAGCCTAGCAGTTCTAAATTCCTATTGAGTATGTGTTGCTGGTTTCTTGCTTGGGGCTTAGTCCTGATCTCTGGAAGCATTTATTTCTTCCCTCAGAGTCTTTCTGTATTAAAAAATATCTCTGTGTGTAACTGGATAATACCTGATTCTGCCTGCTTTCTTCCGTGTGAAAGGTTGGACTCAAGGGCAGGGGTTAGAAAATTTTTTTTCTCTCCCTTTCTTTCTCTTTTTTCCTGCCTTTATCTTTCCCTCCCTCCTTCCTTCCCTCCCTCCTTCCCTCCCTCCTTCCTTCCCTCATTTCCTCCCATCCTGTTCCTCAGAGTTACAGAGGGAAGGGGAGAGACATTTTTCTATCTACTGTTTGAATCCCCAAGTGGCCACAAGGGCCATAGTGCAGCCTGGAGCTCCTTCCAAGACTCCCACAGGGGAGTGCAGACACTTGGGCCATCCACTGCTGCTTTTCTTGTGCCATTAACAGAAATCTGGGTTAGAAGCAGAACAGCTAGAAATTGAACTAGCATCACAGGGAGCAGCTTTGCTTGCTACTCCACAGCACCGGCCCATGGACAGTTTTTCTTATAAAGGGCTACATGATAAATATTTTAGGCTTTGTAAGCCAAACTTTGTTTTTTCTTTCAGCTATTCAGTTTTGCTGTTATTGAAAGGAGGCTTAGACAGTCTGTAAATGAAAGAGCTTGAGTGTGTCCCAGTAAAACCTAATTTAGAAAAACAAGTGGTGGGCTGGATATGGTGTGTAGGCATTGGCTTGCTTGATACAAAGCTTTTTCTCATTTTGTACAGTTTCTGTCCTTTACACGAATTAACTGGTAAAATTGCTTTAAAAATTATATAGGTTTCTGGAGTGTCTGTAAAAGCAAGCCAAGCTATTAAACCAGAACCACACTCACAGGTCCTTTGATGTAAGCGCTTCTTCACTAGCTTGAGTCTCCTGTGAGGTTACTGCAGATTTCCTTTTTTTTTTTAAGATTTATTTTTATTGAAGGTCAGATTTACATAGAGAAAGATCCTCTATTCACTGGTTCATTCCTCAAGTGACTACAGTGGCTGGAGCTGAGCCAGAGCTGATCTGATCCAAAGCCAGGCGCTTCTTCTGGGTCTGCCATGCACATGCAGAGTACCAAGCTTTGGGCCATTCTCTGCTGCTTTCCCAAGCCACCGTCACGGAGCTGGATGTGAAGTGAAATAGCACATGAACTGGCATCCACATGGTGGATGCAAAGCGAGGATTTAGCCATTATGCCTTCACGCTAGGGCCTGTAGATTTCAGATCTATAGAATATTCATCCTGTTGGTAAGATCTAGAGAGAGCCTTTTTTCTGAGAGTTCTAGGAGCCACTGCTTTAGGTCTGTTTAAAGGCCTAATGAATTTTGCTTCCCTTCCCTGGAAATGATTTGTCCTTAGAAACTATTTGTTGTGGTTTGAATGTTGAGTGTCCCCCCAAAGGCCTGTTTCCAGAGGTGGTGCTGTTGGATAGTGGTGAAACCGTTTAGTCTGGGAGGCCTATTGGAAGGTCCTTAGGCATTAGGGACAGGGTCTGGGAAGGTCTTGCTTCCCTGGGAAGGGTTGTTAGAAAAGCCCAAGTTGGCTGCGCTTAGTATGGCTGTTTCCTGGCTTGCCCTGGGATGCTTCTTTAGTGTGTCCTCTGCAGGGCCTTCAGAAACACCTGCTTTATGCCATTGCAGTATCCCAAACTGAAAGAAGCCTCTCTCTTCTTCCTAAGTATCTGGGTTCAAGTGTTTCCTTGTACCAGTGAAAAGTTGACTCATATTTCTTAAAAATGCTTGGCTGGAATTTTACATTTCTTCCAAATGCCACTCGCTCAGATAGTTCTTTTATAAGGCTGACTTTTGTCCTCTTTCTGGACGTCTTGCTGGCAGTTTACTTTCTGTCTTCCACAATACCTCACCAACAGCTTCCTCAAATCCCTCTAAGGCTTCCACTAATTTTCTTTTCCTTGTCCTCCAGTTTCACTAATGATCTCCTCAAAGGTATTGGATTTTGTCCATCACCTGGTCCCAAGGCTAACACCATATGTTTTAGGTTTTGATTGAAATAACCCTTCATTGCTAGTATTAGGATCTGTTACTGTTATCTGTGTTGTGTAAAGAATCACTACAAACTTCATGTTCTTAAGTAGCCATCCTTCTATTTATGTGGTACAGTTTCTGTGGATCAGGAAGTCTAGAAGGGCCTAGCTGGATGGTTTTGGCTTGGGTTGTTTCAACTGGTTCCAGTCAGATTGCACTGTTGCAGGAATGGCAAAAAGGGAGAAGCATGCAAAGCTGGCATGACTGGGCAACTTTCTCCATATGGCCTCCGCCCTGGGCAGTTTGAATTTTCTTGAGTTTCCTCACAGCATAGCAACCTCAGGGGAAGTTTGACAGCAAACTGGTGACTGAAGGCTTCAAGGGTGAGTATTCTAGTGGAAGCAAGGCAGACAGCTTCAGCCCCTTGCCTGACCTAACCTTGGTAGTCGCAAATATCACTTCTGTCTTACTCTGTTGTTTGTAAGTTTCCTTGAACTCTTGCTGGGAAGCTGGTCAAGGTGACTTGGGAGATGAGCATGTGGGATGGATGATATCATAGCCACTTTGGAAATTATAATCTTCCCCAGATAGGAAATGCCACGTAAAAAATCTTCATGCCTCAAGTTTGTGCTATATGATGCTAAGTATTCAAGGAGGAGGGAGCCTTGAGCTCTGGGAGCAACAAGGGACCTGCAGGTGTTTTGTTCTGGCAAGTTAACAGCACCGAGCTTTATGGTTTGCATCATTTGTTTAATCAGTTATTTGCTGAGGATTCTGTGCTTTGCGCCATGTGTTGGGATCTTATTATAAAGCCCAGTTGGACAGCAACCTCATGTCAGTCATGAGGTTCCTGTGACTGGTTTACCTTTCCTCAAGTGTCAACTAGGTAAAATCTGACACACTATATATGTTGATGTGATTTTAAAAAACGCTGTTGATACACATCATATGGATTAGGATTTATTTGAAAGGCAGAGTTACAGACAAAGAGGAAGGACTTCTACCCACTGGTTCAGTCCCCAAGTGACTGCAACGGCCAGGGCTAGGCCATATTGAAACCAGGACACAAGAGCGTGCTGTGTGTCTCCCACATTTGGGCCATCTTGGAATGCTTTCTCAGGCACATTATAGTCATTTAGGTGCAAGAAGTCACTGATTTGTTGCTTGTAGACCCAATATGAATTACCCACTCCAGCTTTTAAAATAGTTGATATTTTCTCTCTGTTAAAAACTACATTTAAAAAAAATGGCTTCAGGATCTTTTTTTTTTTTTTTTTTTTGACTAGTTAGCCTAACTACTCTTAAGTTGCTGTTCTCAACCAGGAAAATGTGAGAATGTTTGGAGTTATTTTAAGTTATCGCTCCTAGGGGGAAGCTGTGGTGCAACCAAGCATCTTGCCATGCACCAAATATCCCTCCACAGCATAGGATTAGTAGGAGTAATTAGTTTTATGTTTTTAAAAGATTTTTTTTTTTAATTGGGAAGTCAGATATACAGAGAGGAGGAGAGACAGAGAAGATCTTCCATCTGATAATTCACACCCCAATGGCCGTTGCTGCTCTGAATCTGAAGCCAGAATCCAGGAACTTCTTCCGGGTATCCTACACGGGTGCAGGGTCCTAAAGCTTTGGGCCGTCCTCGACTGCTTTCCAGGCCACAAGCAGGGAGCTGTATGGGAAGTAAGGTTGCTGGCACGTTCAAGGTGATGACTTTAGCTACTAGGCCATGCCGCTGGGCCTGGTAATTAGCCTTTGAAGGTGGCTCTAATAAAGAATAATAAGTCAGCATATAGTATTTATTGTGTGTTTTACAAAAGCATATGGCTCCGTTTTCAATTTATTTTATCTGCAATCAGATACATTTGTTACCTAATGAAATAAATTTCACACATATACAAGGAGACTTCAGGAAGTTTGTAGAAACTACACTTGCTATTATAATCCCACTTTCCATTTGGGAGCCCTTCTGTATATAACTTTAAATGGCCTTTGAAATCTCTTCATCTTGCCCCTACAAGGAACTTTTTTAGTGGCTGAAACAAATTGATTTTAGGCCATTCTGCCACTTGAATGAATCTGAAGATTAGTTGATAATTATCAATGAAAAAGGAGTAGTCAGGAAAAAAATTTTTTTTTTATAACAAAGATGTTGGAAAACCACATAGGGAGTGTGTGTGAGAGACAGAATCAAGAATACTATCCTAAACATAATAACAATGTATATTGATTTAGTTATGAATTTGTTAGAAAAGAAATTGTCAATTTTCTAAGAGCAGAAACCTTCCCCCTTCCCTTCCCTCCCCTCACCCCACAGGTATTTCATTAACTGTATAAACTATTCTTGTCTAGTTAGGGCTTTTTTCCTCATTTAATGGAAGTCTTGTTTTGAAAAAGCTTTTGAATGAAACAGTTTTTTTTTTTATGTGTGGTTTTTATTTTATGTTGCCCATATTGCCTCATTTCTTTTCAGTAGTATGGATTCAAGAATTCTTTCTAAATGTGTTGAATGTATTATCAGGATTTCTCAGTGAATGTAACTGTTTTTGTTCTCTCTCATTTCTAATATATATTTTTTCCTGTCCCCCATTTCTGAATTCCCTGTTTGGAAGTTTTCTGAACTACAAATAACCCTAATCCTTATTGTGTCAATTTAAATGGAATTCTGAAATATTTCTCTAAATTATTTTCCTGTTCTCCTAAGTTGGGATTGTTTTGATGTGTATTTTATTTTACAAAGTTCTCTTCTTCCTTTCCCCTACTTACCATAGGTAATATTTATTGTATGAATGTTATTGTTACTGCTCGGGTTGGTGTTATGATATCAATGACTTACAATAAGCCGCAATAGACAAAATGGCAGGTTTAAGGTTTAAGGCCCTTTGCCTGTTTTTCGAAAGAAATGTGGAAGTGTCACAGTGCCTTTTTCCTTAGGATAGGTGTGGATAAACATGGAAAGATGAGTGAATCTTTGTTTCAGAAAGCTTTCTACTTGAGTCATTGATTTCACAGCACATCCAAATGATCAAAAAGGGCGCCAATTAGTGTTGAAGTTTTGGTTCCATTGGAAAAATAGAGTTGACTAAATGCAAAGGAATATTTCTGTATATTTTGCTTTCAGTAATGCTGAAGAGTTAGAATTAAAATGCACAATGTGTTACAAACAGGGAATCTCAATAAATGCAGTGAAACTAAAATGAGCTTTAAGAAGCAATGTGCAAGAGAAAACTATTTGAATCTATTTTGATCTATTTACTCAGAATGTCATATAGAAACATTGACCCTGAGGCTATTGTAATTGTTTTGAGAATTAGTTCCCTCTGCCAGCAAAGCTCTATCGAGGCAATGTTAAATTAATTCGCTGCTGCTTCTAAATTTTTTGCCAATTTGGATGTATAAAAATGTCTCTCAAGATGCAGAAATATTCTTACTCCCTGCTGATTTTGTACATTTATTGGATTTTGTATTACAAGTTTTATGTTACTGTCTGTATTGTGGGAACTGATACCGTGGGTGGCGATGGGATCTTGCTAAGCCCTGCAGAATGTGGATCTGTGCATGTTTCTTACAATACAGGATGATGAAAACTATTACTCGCCTTCACAAAGCTATGGTATTTCTGGAATATTTCACAAGTAATTCTTGGGTTTGGAATACTGACAATGTAAATATGTTAATGAATCAGCTAAACCCTGAAGACAAAAAGGCAAGTATTTTCTGTTTTATAGTACAAAGTAAGTAGCATACCAATTAGAGACCCATTAGCAACCTAGGAAATAATTAAATATTTTTCACTACCATTATAGTATAAGCAAGCCATTGATGTATGTATGATCTCTCATTAAAACTGTAATTATAATTATTTGTGGTGAAATAAATTGTTTTATCTTTGAATTTATTGTGTCAGTATTGGAGGTTGGCAAACTCATTTTCAAAGTATGGTTGAAATGTTCAGTCTTGCTCTGTGGTTCCTCTTCAAGGAGAATGCTAAGTTCTTTTTTTTTTTTTTTAAGATTTTATTTATTTATTGGAAAGTCAAATATACAGAGAGGAGGAGAGACAGAGAGGAAGATCATCCGTCCGATGATTCACTCCCCAAGTGAGCGCAACGGCCAGTGATGCGCCGATCCGAAGCCAGGAGCCAGGAACTTTTTCCGGGTCTCCCACGCGGGTGCAGGGTCCCAAGGCTTTGGCCCGTCCTTGACTGCTTTCCCAGGCCACACGCAGGAATCTGGATGGGAAGTGGAGCTGCCGGGATTAGAACCGGCGCCCATATGGGATCCCGGGGAGCATTCAAGGCAAGGACTTTAGCTGCTAGGCCATGCCGCGGGGCCCAATGCTAAGTTCTATATGCAGTGTTTCTCCAACTCTGTCTTCTCTGAGGTCTGAGAAAAACATCCTCTCAGAAGTTATTTTTCACATTTTCTTACACTTTTTATCATTCCACATTTTGCTCCCTGCAATCTGAAAGTTAAACTCTTCTGTGTTTTTTAAGATATCTCTGAATATTTTAACATGAGTGCCTAACACAATCAAAGTTAAGCAGTTTGTGTAGCCTCCTTATCAATAATATTAGGAACTTTAAAATGTTTAGTTGTGTTTACTACCCACACGGACTTATTTATAACATAGTCATGTATGTTAGTTCTCTGAGTGTAAACCCTGTAATTTAGTCTTCATTTTTCACTTTTTAGATTTAGCTATCTGTGTCTTTACTTTTTTGTTTGTTTTGTTTTTAAGATTATTTATTTGAAAGACAGTAATAGAGGAGAGAGATCATCCGTCCCCAATTCATTCCCCAAATAACTACAATGGCCAGGGCTGGGCCAAGCTCAGCCAGGAAACTAAAACTCCATCTTAGCCTTCCACGTGGGTGGCAAGGGCCCAAGCACTGGTGTGATTTTCTTCTGCTTCTTTTTTTAGGAGCTGGATAGGAAATAGAACAGCCAGATATAAATAATGCTCCAGTATATGGAATAGTGCATCAACAGTAGCAGCTTAACTTGCTGTGCTACAACACTTGCCCTACAAATGTTTGCTTTTAATTAAAATTATGAAACAGTAACCTAGTGGCTAACGTCCTTGCCTTGCACCTGTAACCCCATATGGGCACCAGTTTGTGTTCCAGTGGCCCCACTTCCAATCCAGCTCCCTGCTTGTGACCTGGGAAAGCAGTAGAGGATGGCCCAAAGCCTTGGGACCCTGCACCTATGTGGAGGACAAGCAAGACACCCTTGGCTCCTTGCTTCGGATCAGCTCAGTTCTGGCCATTGTGGTCAGTTGAGAAGTGAATCAGTGGATGAAAGATCTTCCTTTCTGTCTCTCTTCCTCTCTGTATATCTTTTTCCAATAAAAATAAATAGTTTTTAAAAAAATAACTTTTCTTCCTAGCTAGCAGTATTTAACTGTTTTGTAGTTGTGTTATTTGGAATCATGCCCTTAAAAATGTTAATTTTGACAATTTAAAAAAAACTACTCAGAGAAGTAACCTAATTTTTAAATTTTGTTTTAAATTTTTTGATAAATGTAGACCTTCAATATTGATGTACGACAGTTGCATTGGGCCGAGTATATAGAGAACTACTGCATGGGAACGAAGAAGTATGTATTGAATGAAGAAATGTCTGGGCTCCCTGCAGCTAGAAAACATCTGAACAAGTGAGTTGTACATGGGCTTGATCCCTGCATGTTGCGAACTCCTGTACAGGATTGGTTTTAATTGAATTTTTTAAATTACTTACCTTCTCTTAAACTGTTCTTAAAAAGTAAAGCTAATTAGGACTAAGTGAAAAGATGTTTAAAGTGCAGGTTACTTTATTTAAAGGTAAAATTGTCTGTGGAAGAAATACTGCAATAGATCCATCATTCAGGATAAAATTTTGTCTTTATGATTAAAAGTTGTAATTTTCTTAATTTCCTTATGAAACCAACATATTGATTAAGAATAAACTTAGAAAATAGAAAAAATAAGTCAGTGTAAATCCATCACTCAGATACAGATAGTATTTTATGATAATCTCTTTTACTTTGTGGTATTTTAAAAAATATAATGTCTGTTAAATGGTGAAGACTTTAGCAAGGCAAAATGGAATATTAATCTTTTCATTCCTTTAAATACAGACTGTTCTTTCCTCTACACTGTTGTCTCTGTGTTGCAGTTCTGTATTGAACTGCCTGTTGAAGATAGTGAAATTTAATATGACATGATTATGTATCTAGAAGTTTGTATTCCTTTTAAACATCATTAAGAAATACCAAGCATGTGTTGAAATTTGAATAGGGAGGGGAAGGGTCCTTTATGGAGCTAGTGCTGGATTTTGTTTTTGGATAAGGAAAGAAGTAAGCTAACTTGTTGGATGCCGTGTAATACCTAAAGATCTCAGATAGTTATTGTGTTTGGTTTATTCTATGTTGCATGTAATAAACAAACCCTTTTTAAATGATATAGGAAGCTATAGAACCTACCTGTTTTACTTAGAATGTACTTAATGCCTGCCACAGCATTGTGCATAAAGGAATCTTAGTAACATTGGTGAATGAGTAATTGTGTGTTCCTGATATACTGTTAGGCAAAATTTTGGTATAAACCCATTATGAATAGAAGTAATACATTGTTGGATGTACTGCTGTCCAAAATATCCACAGTCAGATTTACGTGGATTTTGTAACCTCTTCTTTCTTCCTTTCTTTTTGTAAAATGATTTACTAATTTTACTTGAAAGTAAGAGTTACATCGCAGAGAGGGTAGGTAGAGACAGTCTCCATCCACAGGTTCACTCCCTGAAGCCAGGAGCCAGGATTTTCTTGTGGGTCTTCCACATGGCATCAGGTACCCAGGCACTTCAGCCCTGCACTGCTGCTTCCCCAAGGCATTAGCAGGAGGTCGGATAGGAATGGAACAGCCAGGTAAAGGGTTAGCTGGCTATGCCACCACTCCGGCCCAGTTGGTTTATTTTTTTAAATAAATTTTAAATTAATTTGAATTGGGGGCTGGCACAATAATTCAACTGCTTAATTCTTAGCCTTGCAGCACCAGCAACCCCATATATGTGCTACCTTGTGTCTAGGCTGCTCCACTTGCCATCCAACTCTCTACTTGTGTCCTGGGAAAGCAATGGAGGATGGTTCAAATTCTTGGGACCCTTTAACCACATGAGGGACCCAGAAGAAGCTCCTGGCTCCTGGATTCAGATTAGCTCAGCTCCAGGTGTTGTGGACTTTTGGGGAGTAAACCAGAAGATGGAAGATTTTTCTGTCTGTCTTCTCCTTGTCTTTGCAAACCTGTATTTCTAATAAAAATAAAATTTTGAAAATATGTGGATTTGATCCATGATTGGATTGGAGGCTAGTAACTAATTCTAGAAAATTATGTCCCCATATTCTAGAAAATATTGTCACCTATTCTAGAAAATATTGTCTCATCAATTTCCTGCCTTGCTTTCTAGGTTACGGAACATCCGTTATGGTTTCAATACCATCCTTGTGATTCTAATCTGGCGCATTTTTATTGCAAGATCACAAATGGCAAGAAATATCTGGTACTTTGTGGTTAGTCTGTGTTACAAGTTTCTGTCATACTTCCGAGCATCCAGCACTATGAGATACTGAAGACCAAGAATTTAGCATTAGAACATCTATGCATATGGTGGTCTAAATGCACAACATGTAAAATGTACTTAAGTCATCTCACCTTTTGTCAAGACATTAAACCATATTAGATCAGAGTGTGGAATAAATTATGGTACATTTTATGTAACATTTTAATGTTTATGCTCATGAAACCTAGTGAACACACTGGTATGTCAGCTCAAATTTACAGTAGCCACCAACACCATGACTTCACCTTTAATCCATGGGAGAAGGGAGTAGGGATGAGGACAGGAGTGGGGAAGCGGAAACACTGACCAGTATAACTGTGCAATTCTGGAACATATTCATCAAAATATGCCTTAAGAGATAGGGAATCTCTAGTTCAGATATTCTGCATTGGAAAGCATCTATTTGGACGGGGAAGCTAGAAAAGTTGGAAGATAGTTGATTCTTGGTTCTTTATTGTTTGATTTGTTAGTCTGCTAAAGTGGGTTTTAGTTTTGTTGAAATTACACCCTTTTCACATCATCCTCTGAGTTAGTTACACGTGTTCTCTTTTTTCTTTCTCTGGTTAAATGTGGTGCATATCATTTTTCTATAAGCAATCAGCTTCATAATCTGAAGGCTGTCTATTATTCTGAAGATCCAACTTGTTCTAAATGGGTTTGAGAATACATATCGGTATGTGCTATATGGTTTTTTGAAGGAAAGTGAAAATAGAATGTCAATCTGTTCATATCAGAAAGAATAGGAATACATTTTTCTTGTCCACATTATAATCTGATAAGAGCTGGTCCTGTGGTAGTGTGTTCATGTTTTGAAGCAGGAGGATTCCTCAAGCCTCGGTAGGTTTCTGAGGGTGGGGACAGATTCACCATGCTTGTGCTCCCTTCCCTTTATGAATCCTTTTCATAGGCCTTGTAAAAGGCTTGTCCTGTCTTTTAAATGAAATCTGAAACTGCATTATTAGGAAGAATGTATTTGCAGTTAGTAATAACAAGAATAAAATGTCCTCATGTGTGCACATACTAATTCTGACCTTGAAAGCTGAATTCCTTCAAGAAAAATCAAATGATGGATGAATACTGTGTATACAATTAAATAAAGGACTTTATTTACATACCACATAAAGTAGCAAACTGTTGAATGAGTTTGAAGATACCATTTATTTTTTCTGCATGTGGTTTTTAGCTTTAGAAAGAAGTGCATTATATAAACAATACGGCAAGAAAATTGATGTATATTTTAATAATTATAATTTCGTTTAAATCTTAATAGGCATTACTGCTACCTTTTGACATACATTTGGTTTAATAAATTGTTAAGCTAGCACTGTTTTAACTTATCAAATTATATTTAATCATCAGTCTGTCTTCCCTGTGTTTAGAGATGTCAGTTCATAATACAAAAAGTTACATGGAAATTTACATCCTAATTTTGTCAGCTTAAATGCGATGTATAAGTTTATTTTGCTGTTGTGAAAAGCCTAAATGTGTAGGAAAGCACCTTCTTCCATGTAGGTGTATAATCTTGGAAACGAAAAATGCTTCCATGTTGAAGCCAGATTTTCTGTAGTAAAACTTTCTAAACATTATTTTTAAAGAAATATATATATATATAAATATCTATATATTCTTTGGAATGATCCTAAAGTCTGGTCTAGGACCACACCTTGTAGAAGGTGTGAGAGACTATGACACTGTCTAAAAAATGAAATAAATGATAATGCCTTTGATTTACAGTGGCTCATGGAATAAACATTTAGCACTCCCTCTCCCTGAGAAAAAATGCTAACATTTGTATGATTCTTTTTTTACTTAATGTCGACTGATTCAGATGATTGTCTGTCTTATAAAGGGTAGGGTACAATTTAGGTAAGTGTGTGAAGCCAAAAAAAAGGGTATGTCTTCTAGATTGATTTATTGTTCATGTGATCAGACTTAGAGAAATGCAAACTAGGAAGCTATTGAGGCCACTATGTTACAATTTTGTGTGCGTGTATGTAGAATTCTGTCGTCAAAAGAAAGCTAATGAAGATAAATTGAGCAAATATGTCTGCCATTCTGAAATTTTAAAGTTAGCATAAATATGTAGACTGTTGATCCCCACCCACCAACTCAACTTTAAATCAAAATTGTCTATCAGTTCTGTTGGTGTCATTTGTTAGACATGCTTTGTTTGATTATGTTTTCTGTACAGATGTACACAGTCTGTTGGAAAAACTTAAAACTTTGACTTATTTGATAAAGTTAAATTTTGAACATTTGGGTCTTTTCCCTGTATTCACTCTTAACCTTGGCAAATGCATTTGTAATTGTGATGTCATTGTCACTAAATGTAAAGTTGGCTTGGCAGCACTAATGTGTCCTAAAAGTTAGCACAGAGACAAGTGTTTAGCCTAGTAACCTGTGTCCCATACCACAGTAGCTGGGTCCTAGTTCCAACTTTGATTCCTGATCCCAGCTTCCAGCTACATCCGGAATCTGGGAGGCAGAGGTGGTGACTCTAGTAATCAAGTTTCTGCCAACCACACAGGAAACCTGGATTGAGGTCCTGCCTCCAAACTCCTGGCTTCAGCCTGGCCCACAGCTCCAGCTGTTGTGGGAAATTGGGGAGCAAATCAACAGATGGAGCTCCCTTCCCCAGCCTCAGCCTCTCAAAACAAAACAAAACAGTCAGTGTGGAGAAGCCGGGCAATGTCACCGTTCCTTGTAGTAATGTTTGTAAGCAGGGGGAAACATTTCTGTGTTTCCCCCCTATTTTTGTGTTTATCTGTAGAACTGATATGGGATTTTTTTTGTTCTTTTATTTTTTTTTAATGTAACTGATAATACTCTTATGAGAAGTAAACAGAAGCATTATTGGGTGCCTTTGTTTGTAAACCAAAAAGTAATAAACGAATCCCTATATTTCCATTCCAGTATTTATTGAGTTTTTGTCATGAAAAGTATCCATGAGATAATGTGGTTAGAAGTATAGGTAACAGTTCTCATTTAAACAACACTACTTGGTTTAAGGATACTCATTGATTTCTTCTCATTTTATTTTGTCTTAAGTTGCTCACAACATTTTATGGGGCGCATACATATGGTTGAACACTTCTTGTTCAAACATTATTTTTATGTTTTAACTGGACGAAATGGTTGTTCTGTTTTCTAAAAACTACCTGGAAATAGCCAGGGTGGCATTAGAATTCAGCTCTGTCTTCTGACTTGAATGACACCTGTCTTTATGGGCACATTTGTAGTAATTGTCAAGTATATATAAATATATGAAATCATTTGTAAGTCATAGAGAATCTTTGTAGGGAGGAAAAAAGGACAGTGTGTTGGGCTGGGTCCAGGTGAGTGTGAATGATCTAGGCATGCCTCCCTAGGATGAGCCCCCGTGTTAACTATAGACCTTTCACATTGACCTCTCCTTCAAGAAAAAGCTTTCTAACCTCTTGCATGAGAAACCGGAGCAGGGGCTCTCTCTTGCATAGCTTGTGACAGCCTGTATTAAAAGCTAATGAAATATGAAGCATTTTCATATTTCTTTGTCTTTTCTGTGATGGTGCCCTCTTTGCATAAACCTCTGCTACCCCTAAGTTTCCTAAACAGTTGAACATAGTGCAAAGTTATTTCTTCAATTTTTTTATTTAAGGAAAGTTGAATAGCATTATAATGTGTTCCTTTGCAAGTAGATGACTATACAATACATTTATTTAAAAAGTACATAGTGGTGTGAGTTGAATATCTTCTGTGAACCTGTCATTCAGACAAATGAGGATGTAATTGAGGGTTGTTGGATTTTTTAGAGAAATACTTATAATCGTAAACATGGGAATAGAATAAGTATTTTCAGAATTCATTAAAATCCATACAAATTTGTGGTTATTCTTTTTAAAATGTTTATCTTTAGATTTTTTTCTGGATATTAGGTTGGATTTTCATGTTACAGCTTCATGAGGTTGAATTAGATATTTTCTTTTTTAGGCAGAATCATAGCTATTTTCTGCTGTTGAGTAGAAAGCCTGGTTCCTTTTCTCTCATGTAAATGAAGAGCTTTGCTTTATTTGTTGAGTAATATGTAGTGAGAAAGTGTTAGATTGACCCATTTAAAAATGCAGATGTGTCTGTGGCCAGTTAAGATAATAAGAACCAAATCTTGAACTCAGCCTAGTTCCAAATCCTGCTTTCCTGTTCACTGCCCTCTGCAGTTGGTCCTCCGTATCCATGGATTCTGCATCTGCAGTTTCCCCATCTGTGGATGCCATCCAACCCTGGGTTAAACACATGTGGAAAAAATTTGCAGCTATACTATGTATGTACAGAGTTTTTCCTTGGTAATTATTGCCTAAACAATGTAATCACTACAATTACACACCACTTAATGATGGGACTATGTTGTGAGAAATGTGTTTACGTGATTTCTTCATGGGAACATCACGGAGTTTACTAGCACAAATTTAGACAGTGTGGTTTATTACACACTGTATATTGTATACTTAATGCTTATGTGGTCTGTCCTTAACTGAACTGTTATGTCTTAACATGGCTATTTCCATTGTATTAGGCATTATAAATAATACAGAAATTATTTAAAATTTCTGGGAGGATGTGCATAAGTCATATGTAAGAACTGAACCATTTTGTATGTGGAAGTTGAGCTTCAAAGACGTTATTGCTTGTGAGGAGTCCTTGGAATAACTGGCTTCTCTGACATGTCCTCAGTGTCTTTACTGACTTCATCTCTAAGCCGAAAATTCACTTATTCTTCACAGAAGAAGTGCTTGTCATGGCTTATGCACCAGGCTGCCTATTGTAGTTGTCAGGGTTGCTCAACTATCTTTCCAAGTGGCCCAGACTCTGGATATTACACACTAGGCTTGATTAAGAATTTTCTGATTTGATTTTTAACACAGTCTATAATGGCAGATTAGAAGATAAGATAAAAAAACAAGTACACAGAGGGGCTGATATGCTACTTTTTCAGGGAAGAACTCATAAACCAAACATAAGCTGTGGTTCTGATCAGAGGAATGCAGGGACAGGGAAGCATACATGCTGTGGGAGGAGCATGTGCAGAGGCTGGAAAATGTGAGGAACCGTGAGGACATTTCTAGTGTTAAAACAGTGAAGGAAAAATGAGACAGAAATGTTGGAGACCAGCTAAGGATCACAAAATGCTCAGAATCCCCTACCAACTGGAATATGCATCCACAAAAACTCAAAAACAGTAAGGATTTTTCCTTGCCAGCACGGCTCTAATCCCATTAAATGAATAGATCATGGCTGGTGTTGACATTGTGTAGCGGGTTAAACCTCTCATATCAGAGTGGGTTCAAGTCTCATCTGCTGTGTCCAAGCCATCTCCCTTCTAATGCACATGGAGAAATAACAGAGGATGGCCCAAGGTACTTGAGACCCTGCTAACTTACGTCAGAGACCCAAAAGGAGGTCCATGGTTTTGTCTTTGACCTTGCTTAGCCCTGGCCATTGCAGGCATTTGGGAAGTGAACCAGTGAATGGAAGATTTCTATCTCTTCCTCTCGTCACTCTTTAAAATTAGTTAAAAGAGTTTTGTTTTTTGTTTGTTTTTTTTCTTTTAATGAATAGCTTTTGCACTTTAAATTAAACAACCTGTAAGTGTCTTTTTTTAAATGAAACTGATTTAAGAAAAAAGTTCTGGTGGTGTCACTAAGTCTTTTTTGGAAATACAAAACACTCTCTCAGTTTAGTTTTTCCATAATTCTCCAAGTGCAGTCGCCAGACCAACAGTGTCCCTATGGGCCTCTTATGGGAACTCAGATGTTCCAGACCCCACCCCAGCCCTGCTGAGTCAGAAACTCTGGCATGGGGCCCTGCCTTGTGTTTTAACAGGTTTCCCGGGTAATTGAGGTGTACACAACTGCAGTTGGTGAACTGCTCATCTCTAGAGCAGTTAACAAGCTGCCAGTGGAGGATTTGGAGATCAGGTCAAGAAACTGCCACTTGAAGCTGAAAACCAGCATGGAAGGCTTGTGTCATACAGAAACGGGTCTGGACTGGCAAGAACACCGAAGTATTGAGAAAATTCATGCTGTGTAGTGGAGGGATGGGTGAGCTAGTTTATTGTTCTTAATTTGACATTCTGTTTTCTACGGTGAACCCCAGCGGGTTTTCTTTTTAAATGAAGCAAAATTTCTGAAAAATAAAACCAAAATATTTCCTTTCTCCAGTAAAAGACCAAGGGTGCATTCATTGTAGAATTTTGCCTTGAGATTGTTTTGTGAATAGGAAATAACCAAGCATTTGTTAAACTGTGATAGTCCTTGGTTATGTTTTGGTATTCTTGGTAGTTGTTTCCATGTTTGCCAGTTTCTGACTCAGCTTTTCTCTAGCCAGCAGGGAGTATGGGTATATCGTGTGTGTGTGTGTGTGTGTGTGTGTGTGTGTGTGTGTGTGTGTGTGTGTGTGTGTGTGTGTGTGTGTGTGAGAGAGAGAGAGAGAGAGAGAGAGAGAGAGATTCCTGTTGTAATGCTATAGTGGCAGTCTCATTTGAAAGTGTGACTTTATAGCGAGTCAGTTCCCACCAAGATTGCCTCAACTTTGGAGACAGAGAAAGTATCTCTGGTTCTTAAAAACTAAGTTACGGAGTCTATGCCATGGGAATCTCTTTAACTACCATAGCATGTCACAGGCATTTGCTAATTTTAGAATGTTATTTGAAGATGTCTGAAATGATTACGATTCTTTGGCTTCCACCTCTGTGAGAATATTTTCTGACTTGGCCTGCATTAGGTTGAGAATACCGATTTATATCATTCCCTTTATTAGATTTTTGAGCTCTCCAAACATGCAGGGTGTATATTTAAGGTATCTATACATGTATTACATAGTATATGTTTGAACTTTACTAATGGGATGAAGTCTGTCAATCAGTTACAAGATGAGGATTCCTGCTTATAGGAAATAGAAGATTTTGCATTCAACAAGATTTTGCCAGGAAGATGTGAAAGTTAAGACCAATAACCTTTTGTGGGTTTTTCATTGGTTGGTTGGTCGTTTTAGACACAGGTAGAAAATGGTTCACTCCCTCAGTACCTGCAACAACCAGGGCTGGGCCAGCCTGAAGTTGGGAGCTAGGACCTCAGTGCTGGTCTTCCATGTTGGCAGCAGGAAGCTAACCACTTGAATCATCATCCACTGTCTCCCAGGATGTGCTCTTGCAAGAACCTGGAATTGCAAGTGAAACAGACTCAGACACAGACATGAGACACAGTTCTGATACAGAGTGAGG